TTATATTAATTAAACTAACTTTACTATATTATCTATTTCTAAACTTTATAAGGGAATCAGAGTTTTCTCATGCTCAACATTATATCAGCACTGGTGTATTCTTAAGTTAAATTTTATACAGTGTGTCCCAAAAAGGCAGAATAAACTCTGCAAAGTTAGATTCCTCGTTAGGAGTACATAAAAACTGCCAAAGAAGCGTTCCTGTACGATCCATAGTTTCGAGAAAAATACGAAAATCAAAGTATGACGTCACTACCGGTGCAAGAAAAAAAAACACTTTATTGGACATATCAACAACAGTATTTGCATATCTTTCCAGACGATAATGTTATAAATTTTAAAATCTTACATCTGCTTTAAATTGTGCATAGTATACTGCTGTTGATATGTTCAACAAAGTGTTTTTTTTTTTCTTTTCTTGCACCGGCAGTGAGTTCATAGTTCGTTTTTCGTATTTTTCTCGTAAACTATGGATCGTACAGGACCGCTTCTTTGGGCAGTTTTTATGTACTCCCAACGAGGAATCTAGCTGTGAATAGTTTATGCGGTCGTCTTGGGACACCCTGTATATGGATCAGAAAATTCGTACGATATACATAGGCTCATCTTGTTTTTAATTTTAGACTTTATGCTCAAAAATATGGACATACTTACCATTAACAATTTAGGATGAGATCTGATAAAAATAATTTTACAAATTATAAACATATAAAATTATTTAAATAAAATTAATTGTACCCGAAGAAGTTTCAGGACGCGTACTGTTTTAATTAAAAATAAACTGTTTTATAATAAATAAAAAAAATGGATTTTGCAAAAATGCTATTTAAAATGATTTTTTTTTTTTTAATTTCCATAAACATCAAAATTAGTCCCTAATTTTATCTGACTGATTATATCTGCCTATTTTTTAATTATCCATGAACTGTGCTCAAATTTGAAATTTTTTCTCACAATAAAGAAATCATTTTTAGGAATGTGTTATTAAAAGAGAAAAATATTGTTATTTAGGTTTTCTTTTAGTTATGCGGGAGTCAAGTTATGCGGGAAGATTTTTTTTAATTTTAAAGAATGTACAAAAGTTATACGTCTCCTTTCCTACCTAAGTGCAAGATGATAATTATTAATCATATGATAAATTTTATCTCTATCAATATCTGTGAGTTATCTATCACCTGCTTTTAAAAATATTTAGAACTTAGCACATTACATCAATCTTTTCAAATTTACTTTCGTTTACTCTAAACAGAGATTACGCAACACCTTGCAACTACAAAAAATTACTTTCACATATTAGCTTCTTCGAAACAATTTTTAATTAATTTCGAGAAAACAGCAAAGATACAAATATCTCTAAAATGAAACTTCTCTAAAATTAAATGAAGATTTAAATATTTTTTTTATTACATACAAGTGACTTTAAAGTTGAATTAGAATATAAATTTTAGAAATCCCCCCCCCCCCCAAAAAAAAAGTGTTAAATGTGGACCATAAAAAATTTATAAAAAAGTTCTTCAAAAGTTATTTTCAGCAATAAAATTAAAATTTTGTAATCTTTAAATTTCTTATATCTTCCAGTTCTAAAAATACAATATATAGAAGGAAAAAAAGAAACACTATTTTTAGGAACAAATATGTTTATTTTTTAATATAAAAAAATATTCAAATTTTAGAATTTTTTAATTATTATAAAAATTCTCAAAACTAAAAACGTTTTTGTTGCTCATGATGGTATTTCGAAATTTCTAAATATTGTTTTTCTGAATTTGAACCATAAGGAAATCTTGAAAGTTATACGTAAATATCTTTTATACGTATATCTTAAACTAAACTATAAAAGGCTCATTACTACACAATCTATTGCAAAGTAAAAATATAATATACACTTTTAATTTTTTATAATATTATTTCATATCGTTTGTTTTATTATCATTAGTTGTTTCGTTTAGATTTATGTTAAAATATTCAGATTTTGGTGAGCAAAACTAAATGGAAAAATTCATGGTGTTTTTTTTAAAGGTGCAAAAAACTATTTTTAAAATGAAAAATTAATAACATTGCATTCTGATGATTATTTGTTAAGACTTTTTTAAATAACTAGTGTTAAGTTCATAAACAAATAAGAACCTTTCAGCACGTCAAATTTCAACTCTGTCGATGCATTTCTGCGGTTTATAGGGACCCACATGGTATTTCTTATTGCATGTTTAACAGCTAATAATTCTCGAAATAATCGAATGTTAATTTTTTAGCTTCATATTATATTCTGTACAGTGCAAAAATAAGTATATAAATAAAATAAATAAACGAACTATCCTGAATAACTTTCGGTTTAATGATTGAATCCTTACGTTCTGGGACTTAAAGGTACGATCTTAAAGGTTCGAAGGGATGGCCTCTAATGCTAATTATTTAGTGCAGACGATATTACAAGTTACAAAATCAGACACAAAAACGTACTTTATCTGAATAAACATCCTTTTTTTGATGGATACGGATTTCAGACCCACAAAATATTGAAGACAGCCGCAATCTGGGAAAAATGGTCTCAATAGTTTGGTCAGGAGAGCTGTCCAAAGTTCGAACTCCTTAACATTAATTTTACTTTTTGCGTGTATCTCAAAAACTTTTTAAGCGAATGAAAAAAAAAATTTTTTTTTTTCTTGCGCACAATTCTGAAATGTATTTATCCAAAGACAAATTCCATGCAAAATATAACTTTAAGTGATTAGTTATTATTTTTTTTATTATTTCATCTAATGTTTATCAAAAAGTTTTTGAATTGTAAGGTATACAATTTTCACATCATTTTAAACAATGTCATTTTAAATGGCAAAATATAAAATTTGAATGAAATCTGTCGAATTGTTACTGAGAAATCGAATTTTAAAAATACGACTTTTTATGTCTGATTTCGTAACTTAATATCGTCTGCAGAAATTAATAAGTATCCTCAAACCTCGTACCTTTAAGATTGAGACTTAGAACGCGAAGATTCAATCATTTGATTTGATTGAATACCCAAAATACCTGCGGTAACGCTTACGATTGCTTTTTTATTCTTTATTTTTTTAAGGGGAGGGGGTAAAAGAGGAAAACGAAATTACATTATTTTTCCCGTTAATTATTCATTCCACTTTTTTTAAAAATCAGAAACTTTAAACGGGACTCAAGTTTTGGTGTAAATTTGAAAACGACAATTATTCATTTCACTTCTTTGAAAAATTAGAAACTTAAAACGTGACTCAAGTTTTGGTGTAAATTTGCAAACGACCTGATATCTTTTGAAGCGCTACAGAATAAACAAATCATTTATTGAAACGGAGTACCTTGCATTTTAAAGAGGAGTTTGACCGTAAAAGATTACAAAAAGAAGGGGAAAAAATCATTCTTTGAAAAAGTATACACCATTTGATGTAGATGAAAACTGCGCACTAACTTTGCAAATGAAATGTACTCTGAATTCCAATTACTCATTCGATTTTTCCTCCATTTAGCGAAGAGGCAGATATCGCTGAGGTAACCGTAACTGTTATCAGAGGTGAACAAGGTCATCGTAAAAAACAAAAGAGAAGGGAGAATCAGTTCCCAAACAGTCTAGGAGACTCATTTCACGCAAACGATTTTTTTTCTCCCTCTTTTTAGAAAAATACAGGTACGGTTATGAAGGAGGGAATATCACCTCCGCTGATAAAAATGGAGAGTAAATAATTGCCTACCTAACCTGATAAGAGCTAGAAGCGGGGTAGGGGAGCAAACACGTGCATATCGACATGCCCATTATATAACTTTGGGTGATTATTTACCTAAGTAAATTTTAAACAAACAAAGAATACTTATTTCCTCAGAAATAAATAAACAAATATTTTAATACTCTAACCCAGTGGTTTCCAACTGGCGGCCCGGGGGCCGCATCCGGCCCACAAAGCCTTTATTTATGGGCTGCTAACGAAAATATATTAGTTGTCATTTTTTTTGCGGACAATTTTCGTAAAAAATCTATGTGGGTTTAAAATACTTTTCTCGTTAATAAAAACCTAATTTCTTCGTTTCTGTGAAATTTATCATACCTACGGTGCAAAAATTTTTTTTTTCTCAGGTTCTGCATCCAAGAAAATATTTATTCAAATACAAAAATAATCGTGTGTGTTGCTCTTTTTTATTTCATTTTTTTGTATTTTGTGAATATAATTTAGCATGTGTGTATCAGAAATTTTCTCGAAGAAATTCTCCGATTTAGCTTTTTGAAACCACTCATTTTGGACGAAAATATTTACACACACATTTGTAAATTTTAAATTTAAAATGTAAATATCTATTCTCTTGCGGTTGCAGCAGACAAATGTCAATTCTCTCATTGAACACTTTGTGTGCTACTATGTAAGTTTTAATACCAATTTTTTTAAAGTTTTATATCTTAACAATTAGATTATATGTTGCACATTAATTGTTTAATACATGGGTGCACATTAAAGATATTGTAGCCCGAATTTTTTAATATGCAATTAAATACTTTTAAAAATATACTTCGTATTTTAATTTGTAATTCAATACTTTTGTTTTGTATAACTTGGTAAAAATCTGACAGTAATATTTAGTGTTCCTTCAAACATAAAAGAGTCCTACATAAAATTTTGATAAAGTTGCTGCCCGCCATTTGATTTGTGTTTTTAATTGTGGCCCCCGCCCTCATGTAAGTTGGAAACCTCTGCTCTAACCAAATACCAGAATTTTATACTAGCAATATGTTGAAAGAAAAAACAAATTTCTCTTATTCTCTCATTACTCTTGGAACTTATTAATATTAATTCCAAAATCGGCTTTGGTATAATTTTATATAAATAAATACAGTAAAAATTTCTTTAATTTTTTTTATAAAGTTCTTTGTATTTCATTTAAAATTATAGTAAATTAAAGTAGAGGAATAATTTTATTTATTTATTTATGATGAATAAAGATCCCATTCTAAGAGAGATATGAGCTATAAATGGAACACTTACTTTCAAACTTAAGGATTCACAAAATTTGTGGCTTCGGTGAAAGCTCTTGGTTTGTCAAACATTTTCGAATGATTACCCGCCATCTGAAAAAGAGTTCTTGATTAATTGACTTGAAAGAATTACCATAGACCTTAGTAAAAGTTCCATCATAAAATATCAATAATTAAGATAGGTTTTTTATTTAATATTTGAAAGTTTAACCACACTGCATAGACAGCTTAGGTGATATTTATGTGCGACAAAGAAGTATTGGTTATAGGCTTGTTATGAACAACGCTAGATTCTGGTTTACATAGATTATCGATAATATACATAACAGTGTCACAAACGACTATACCGTGATCATTAACGATAACAATACATATCGAATACGATAATATCACGATCACAATTACTGAACACGATAATATTATGAAAATTGTTGATAAAAAATATCGGAAAGAAAATTCAGCGAATATTATTGTATTGTGTTGGTATATAACGGTAATTATTAAAAGCAATATTATTGTGATTGTTGATAAATTGTATTTGATTAGCGAAGCGAGTTCGAATCCCAACGATGGCTGGCCGATACGAATTCCGCATCTGGCTTGCGCCGACTACATTGCTAACGTAAAATATCCTCAGCGGTAAACGGATAATGGGTTAGAGTCCCTTTGCCGTCAGACTAACCGTGGGAGGTTTCCGTGGTTTTTAACTTCCTGTAACGCAACAGTGGGTTAGTTCCATCAAGAAGTCCTCCACTAAGGCAAATTTCTCTTAAGATTTGATACAGGAGTTCCCTTGTCTTCTCGATTGGGTTCAAAAGTACAAGGCTATGGAGGTGAACATTAGTAGTAATAAACCCGAAAAATTGGGTACGCTGTTCAACGGCGATTATAAAATAAAATAAATCATGATATTAAATCGATTATAGGGACAAATATTTGCGTTGGAGAGAATTGATAAATTATAATGCTTGGAGCTGATAAACTTCTGCTTTATTTAAGGCTTATAATTTATTTTGTTATTTAAAGCTTATAATTTACTACGTTATTTAGAGCTGATAAATTTCTACTTTATTTTGAGCATATTACTTACAACGTTACTTAGAGCTCATTAATTACTATCTTATTTGGAGCGTATAACTTTCTACTTTACTTATAGCTTATTACGTTATTTAGAGTTTACTTACACATTACTTATAACTTACAAAAATTAGCTGAGAAGTTTTAGTAAGTTATTAAAGCGTAATAAATTATAAGTAACGTAATATAACTGTTAATTGTTAAGTTAAATTTTGTCTATCTTTTGTCTAATATTGTCTGCCCTATCAAGTTAATTTAAATGAAGCAAAATAATCGATTAGAATAAAAGCAGCAGTTTTGCAAAAATGAAATGAATTTGATATCTGATTTTCTAATACTTGCATTGTTAGGTTTCTTAAAAATTGCAATTTGTTCATTGGTTTTAGTAATTTTAATTTCGAGGGGGAAATATTTGACAAATGGGGGATTTTTTAAAGTTTATTTACAAAAAATATTTTTGTTTTTTAATCAAGCCAAGTCTTCTTAGCAATATAGTATTTATAACATAAAGTTAAAGTTTTGCTTCGAGTCATATGTATTAAAATTTTTACTATCCTTGGCGAAATTTCTGTTAGTAACAACAGCTTTAAACTGTCTAAGAACGCGCCAGTTATAACCGAATAATTTAATTTTTTTTGTAAAGAAAAGAAAAACGGAGTAGTTGTGGGTTGTTTGAAATGTATTGAGAGGGGGGACAGAAACGGTTGTAAACCAGGTGGGAGAGACGAGAAAGGGATCAGATGGATGCGGAAGATGGGGGAGAGGAGGTCCAGCTGGCTGGCGACTCACCGTCTCGAGCTGTTGAATCCCTTAATGAGAAGTAGACTGAGGGAGACCCGTGCAACGGTTTATCGAAGAGAATAGAAACCGAAAGCAATCTGTGTTATCGGAGACAGAAGAACGCATAGAGCTCTACCCGAAGATCTCTGACTCACCCTATCTGTCCTCCTCCCCCTACATAGGGGGTCTTTCAACTCCTGCAAGATGCCCTGCATTGAAGGAGCTCTTCCCCTTTCAGCCATTTGTAACAATTCTAATTCGGTAGTTTGGAAAGGACGCGGAACAAAATCTTTTGCGAATACAATAATAAAAAAAAAATCTGGTTATAATACTTAGGTTTTTAGGTTTTAGAGTATTTTACGAATTATCAGTGTAAGTTAATTTAAATCTCTCCAGTGGTTTTTGTATGTTTTACTTTCTTGAAGTCGAGTAAACAGTTTAACAAATGGTGCGAAATCAGAAAAAAATTTTTTTTTTTTCATTATCGTTTTCTACTTAACAAATGGTGCGAAATCAGAAATATTTTTTTTCCATTATCGTTTTCTGCTTAAGATTGTTTTTTGCTTAGAAGATTTTAATGAATTCATCTTTGAAATAGTTTGTTTCAAGTTCCACATTAACTAAATGTCTAAAAATTGTTCATGAATTACAAATCTATAAAAACAAATGAATTGTTATCGTGTTATGTAATTTGCTGAAAAACGAGATAAAAATAAAGTAAAGAAAGAAAACTATTTTTTGAGCAAACGATTCTTCTACAAATGTATTAAAATTGACTTCAAATTTATGATCGTTTATAAATTTTGAACAATTCCAAAGATAGTTTCGAGATTCGTTTTAATACATAGGAACTAGGCGTAATTTTTCCGATATTTTTATATTTCATGTTATTCAAATGATTTCAAAGATAAATAATCTATTTTGAAATCGTTCATTAATTTTCTATAGGTGTTTCTGTAATTGGATACCAGCAAGGGACGTAGCGTGGGTATCTCTATCCTCATTGGTTGTTGAAACGTGGCATTTGTTAACGTTAGAAACTGTTCTTTCCATTCTATTTGAGTAAGTCAAGCCCGTCAAGTATCAACTATCTTAAGTGACACATTCTATATTCTTACGCAAAGATTCTCTCACAAAGATTTCCATTCTTTCACTATATATTTCTTACTTAACACAAAGGCAGAAATGAAGCCATTTAGAACAAAAACTGACATAAAATTCAGAGATACGAAGATGTGCTATACGACGCTGCATTTAATTAACTTCACGAGAAAAAGATTTGAAAAATACTTTTAAAAATTAGATGCAGAATTTTCTATTGCAAAATATTTGCAGCGCTATTTACAACTTATTTAGAAAAACAGCTAGTATTATTTGATATATCTTTCAATACTTTGTATTATTTCAAAGGCTTAAAATTTCAAAAAATAATAATAAATAATAATAAGTTCGCAATAATTATTATCGTATAGAATTCAAAATATCAAATAATAATTATAAAGTATTTTTAATGGTAATATAATTTTTAAAAAACTTTAAACACGTGTAGACGATGATCTCTTTTAACTTTTTTGTTCAACAAAAACTAGTTGAATTTATTATCTGTTAACAATCAGTAAAATTCAGTATTTAAACTTTATCAGTTTATGAGCATGTTAGTGAATAAAAATTGTAAATATATTTTTCAAGCATGTAAATAAAGGGTTTGGAGCGGTGTAAACCTCTTTTTTTAACAAAGGTGATATTTTTATATCAATCTTGACAAGTTTCCGGAATTTCTAAATAAAAATAGTGGTGTTTTTCATTAGAAACGCTTTTTTTAAACTTTTAAAAACGTGGCTTATCATTGAATTGCTTCCAAGCCCATTATATGCATAAATATGTAAAAAAAAGAAGAAGAAAAAGAGATTATTTATTCAAATTCATAATAGAAAGGGGAATTCTAAAACTGATGCAATATCTTATTGAATTCTACTTGTTATACATAAAATATGCGTAATTATCTTTTCGCAGAAAAAAAAAAGGGTTAGAAAGAAATTTTTGCGCGTGATTTTCGGGCTATTGTGAGCGTAATCTGAACAGCAGATAAAAAGAAAATGTTCGGAAAAGAAATAGGAATGAAAAGGTTTCAACTTTACATCACGAGTGAAATTAGAAAGTTGATAAAATGACAAGAAACAAAGGTTCGTAATCTTTGGCGCAATGATATCAGCAAATAACTTTAATATATTTATTGTTCGATAAAAACAGAAATCTTACATCATTCCACATAAGAAAACGATCGAAAATTATCAACCGCATTTTCAGTTCAGGAATAATACTTCGATTTTTTCTTCCTTCTTTATTGGCATTTCAATGATGAAAAAGAAAAGATTGCAATGCTCGGCTAAATCTTTTTGTTAATGCACACAATTTAAATGATAAGATAAAAAAAAAATAATTTTAGGAAAATTTGATACATTGTATTAATATAAATGAACAAAACGAGCATAAAACATTTACATGTACTTTTTCAAACATAACGTACTAGATTAGATTATTTCTCAAATAAGATAGCTTTAATGAACTCTAAAAAGTTCAAATTTAAATCATTAACAGTTGTGTAATTTTATTTATTTATTTATTTGAGTATATCTCTCATTTTATGAATAATCGCGCGAAGAAAAACTATATTTTTTCATTATTTAGAAGCAAAACCATACTTTTTCTGAAGAAAATAATAACTTTTTGGAATTGGATTTTGAGTCTTTGAAAATGTTGGGATGATTGGGTTTGCCGCAATCCGGAAAAATTAGTGTCAATAATTTAATTAGGACTATAGTCTAACTTTTTTGAGTATTTCATTATATCTCTGGAAATATTGATGAGAATCAGAAATTTTGTTACGCAATAAAATATAGATGATGATTCTAAGTTATATTTTGTGAATTTAGAAAAATCACCTTTAGAAAATATAGCAAGATCAAGCTGTTCAGAAAAATCACGTTTCGAACATATTGAAAGAACAAGAAAGCTGTTTTGTGAAAATCACCATTAAGACATATCGCAAGATGAAGAAAGCTGTTTAGGAAAGTCACCTATAGAGCATACAGCAAGATCAAGAAAGCTGTTTAGGAAAGTCACCTTTAAAACATAGACCAAGATCAAGAAAGCTGTTTAGGAAAGTCACCTATAGAGCATACAGCAAGATCAAGAAAGGCGTTTAGGAAAGTCACCTTTAAAACATAGACCAAGAT